GTTGGAGGAAAAGAGTAACATTGACACCCCAACTCATAAACGGCTGGCAAAAATTTAAATGGGCTCTCTCTAGTTTCGCCACCTCTCTGCTGGCGACTCAGACTAGAAACTCCCTAACCGCTCTGAGCTGTTCTGAAAGTTGTCTACAAAGAACAATCTTTAAAATGTTACCGAACGAAAGTTTGGGTTGCCCTGTGGCGCAGAATAAAAGCGGCACATTCAAGGGCTAATCCAAATTCCGTTTCACCATACTCCAAAAGAGAACCGGTTCAAGTCTCACAGTCTCCCCAGACCCAGCAAGCTTCAAAACGAGAGAAAAAAATCTGCTCTCCCTAGCCAGGTCTCTCCGTTCAGAGAAGTTATAATCCCTCCGTGGCATCCGCGCCTCGAGCCAAGGAACCTGACTACTCTGACAAGGCGCCTCTAATTTCACGGACCCTGGCAAACTGCAGGAGATACCCGGTCCACGCCACATTAAAACTATTAAAGTGGGACCGCCGCCGTTTAAAAGGCCGCTTGGTGCCTGGAGGTTAGAGCCCAAGCACTGAACGCACACACGCTCTCTGCATCGCGAAAACCCAGGCGCCAGGGGCCCTCCAGGGGACTCTGGGCCAGCGTCCGTGCGCCTGGGCCATCTAGAGGGTCACCACCACGTAATAAATGCCACAGGAGGGATGCCGGGGAGACCCTGGTGCGCGCGCCTTCGCGAGGCGGGGCGAGGTGCAGGTAGGAGCGGCGCGCCCGACACTAAAGGCTGGCTAAACCCCTTCTCGCGCCTGCTCGGGGAGCGACGGTCGGCGTCGGGGTAACCCCTGGGGCAAGGGTCCTCCTCCGGGTCAAAGCGCACGGTGTAAGTCCGAGAGGTCAGGGTCCTCGGACGTGGGCCACCCCGCCTCCGAGGGCACTGGGGGACTCCGTCCTGGTGCGCGTCCTCTGTCCGCAGCTATCCGCGCCCCTGACACAAGCACTTTCTCAGGGAGAGTCTGGGGGCTCCCCCGAAACGCGGGCTACTGGGAAGAAGTGAGAAGAAGGAGGCAACTCACCTCCTGTCGCCCAGATCGCCTCGGGATCCCGAAGTTCAAATGTAGACTCCAACTGCGGATCCGTGCGTCTCTTTTTAGGTATTTATTCTCGTTCCTTCCAGTGTCGAAGTTTCCCCTTCACGCTGTGCCTCTGGTGAAAACAGGACATCCCCTTCGGCCACCCCCTAACAAATAGCGTACACAAGGCGGGGAGAAACGGGGCGGGGGGAGAAGCCGGCTCCGAGGGGGAGGAGGAAAGGAGAGGAGCCAAAACTCCGGGCTGACGACAGGGGGCCGGGTGGGGGGAGGTGAAGAAAAGAAACCCGGAGCGCGCGCCGGCCCCGCAGCCGTCCCTCCCAGCGTTTCCCGACGCTCTCTGCCCCTCTCTGGGGGAGCGACAACTTCACGTGGACTGGATGGAAGTAAGCCGGCAGCGGCGGGAGCGTGCGCCGCGCGGCGGGCAGCCTCGCACTTGCGCGCCGAGGAGGAGGGGGCAGGAGGGGGTGGGGTGGACGTCGCCGCCGGCGACCGCGGACTCCGGAGGCCGCTAGGGACCTCTGACCAGGCCACTGGGGTGCGGGGAGCGGCGGCCCGTTGTGGCCCAATTTCTTTTTATTCCACCTCGGACGACTGCTTGTCGTCATCGTCTGCAGTCTCGCTTGGGGGCTTCCCGGAGCCTCGGCCCTGGGCGTCCCGGATGGCGCCGTGGTAATCTCTGCGCCCTCCGCGCTGCCCCTAGACGCCCCCGCTCGGGCTGGAGTCGGCCTGTGCAATCTCCAGGCTGAGGGGCGGTAGCGCGGCCGCGAGCCCCTCCTGATGGCAGAACCACTGTGTGTCCCCACCTGCTTGTGCGGGACAGCCCCCAGGGCTGCTTGGAACTCTTCAGCTAGCCCGTTCCCTGGCGTCGCCCACTGCAGGCCCCCTGCGGGACTCCCTGCCACTTACCCGGAGGGAGCAGATAGAAGGAACTTCTACGAGCAACAACGCACAATAAAAACCAACCCACACCAGATTGGGGCGTTTTCTGTGACGGGGAAGAAATACCCTTTTCTGCGAAGATGAGCTCTATGAAGGAGTAAGCAGACAGAGATAGGCTGTGCTGGGAAGGGCCTGGGCCACTTCCAGCGCTGGATGCAGGTATAGGCATCCCTCCCAGACGCCCAAAGGTCATACAGCCACGACTGACTTCCAAGGCAGCGTCAGAGCTTCCCCAGGCACATTGCTGAAATGACATTTCATGTCTGCATGTGCGCGTGCATTCTGCACCTACCTAAGATTTTAACATTCTTCATACACCCCCGTGGCTACCACATCTAAAGGCTACCGCAAAGCAGGCAGAATAAGCAGTCCATGAATGTTGCATTTATTTAATCACTTTTCTAAAAGCTATCGTCTGTTTCAGTAGCATCTTCTCTAATTTTCATATCATTAATAACATAATTTATTGATAATTTACTGTCAGTCACTGTATTGGTCACTTATGGTACACGTGTGCTTCCATTTAATTTTCGTGACAACTCCATGGTGGTTATTATGAAGCCCATATAAAAGATGAGGAAACCGAAGCTCAAAGAAACCTGAATAACTTTCCTGAAGACAAACCCAGTGGTCCCTAACCACAAAGCCTATGATTCAACAGACAACCTTACATTGCCTTAGATGTGGCCTAAGAAATTACAAATGAACCCACAGAAATTATTCCCATTAAAAGAAAATGGAATTTTAATATATCACCAACAATTACAATTTATATTCTGAATAAAATAGTTCAAAAAAAGATTTCATCCTCTGCTTCAGGTTGGTTTTACGTAACTGACAAGTTTTGTCAAGTTCAAAAGCAAAACCAATACCAAATACTTGAGGTTACAGTGAATTTGCTTAGCAAGTGGAGCATTATCTACAATGATTAAGAAGCAATGGAAAAGGTAGGGTTGTAAATTTCAACTGATAAAGGTACTCATTGCTGCTCTCATCACTTACTGGGTGTTCCTTTCCGCAGATTTATTTTGGAAGGTGTAGGCATTGCCAGGCATAATGTTTCCTTTTCTGGTTCTGGAGGATAGAAAAAGTTCTGGCCACAGTAGAAAGAGTTTGGCACAAAAAGGATTTGGAGTGTGGTCTAGAGCACACTCTGACCTGAAGAGGAATGCCAGTTAATACCCATTTAAGAGAAAAATATCAATGGGCAGGTTTAATTAATTTTGCAGGTCTTACTTTCCCCATTTTACATGTGAGAAAACTAAAAGCCCAGAATTTTCAGCAACTTGCTAGTACAAAGCAGACCTGAGATTCAAACCAGTCTCTACATAATCTGAAAGTCCACCCTTAGTCACTGTGACAACATTTTCGGTGGCAGACGTCAGAATAGTAATTTGTTTCAATACAGTGTATATGTTATAGGCCAAATCTGCAAGTTAAATGTTTTGTGAATCATTCAAGATCTAAAAATGTTCTGTGGCTATAGCAGATGTCATGTAAGAATTATCTGCAAGGCTGAAATGAATACCCTCCTCACAAAGTCACAAATTTTTGAATTTCTTTTTGGTAGAAAACATTGTGTGTTAGTTTTACCTCTAAATAAAGGTAAGGAGATGCATAATTTGAATAAAAGAAAAGTTCATATTTTAATGCATGTTGTTAACATACAGTTTTTTGGGCATATTTCTTTGAGACCTTCTTTGATCAAGTTTTTAGTGATTATTTTGCTACCACATAGTGATTTATACATCTATAAGAATGTATTTACCTAAGTTATCAATAAAATCCAGAATTATACAACAGTATTATTCAACTTCTGTTTCTTTTCTTTTCTTTCTTTCTTTTTTTTTTGAAGAGGTTTTTGCTATAGGGCGCATGCGCTCGCCAGACAGACAAGAGAGAGACAGAAAGCAAGAAATCACCCCCCAAGGGGGATGGCCACGCAGCAATCCCTTCTCCTCCATTCCCCTCTCGGGATCTTGGGCATGCACGCACACGCGCCCGGCGTGAGTTTTAAGCCACCAGGTCCGGGACTCAGCCCGTGGTCAACTACATGGGAGTCCAGCGCCATAGCCGTTACGCTAACTGCTGGTCCCTCAACTTCTGTTTCTAAGGAATTATTTATTTATTTATTTTATTCCATTTGTTGTTCTTATTTTTTAATTTGACCAGAGTGAGACAAAGAGATAGAAAGGGAAAGCAAGAAAGCAAGCCACCAGATTCGGGACTTGAACTGCAGGTCAGCCATGTGAGAACGCAGCACCTTTCACTACCACACCACTTGCCACTTGCTCTCAACTTCTTATTATTTTCTAATAACTGTCTGAAATATATGTGTGTATATACATACACATGTGCATATGCACATATACACACATATATACATATAATTCTGTATGTATACACACACTGGTATATATACATATCACATAGATACACTAGGAGTGAAACAAAATTTCATATTTTCAGTCCAATTTTGAAATAAGTTGAACATAATAAAAAATTAATTTTAAGGCTATATAGGCAAAGATGTATTGTTCCTTTAAAGCAGACATTATTTCTAGTATTTCTATTAAATAGCACTTTGACAGTTATTGCCATGACACCTTTAATACTGTTGATTTCATATGTACCTTTAAATAATCTGCTTTTATTAAAGTGAATTTATCTAATAAAGATAAATTTACTTTTTATTGTCACCATAAATAGAAAACCAGTGTAACTTGCCATGAAGATGATCTTGGAAATGAATCTACAGTGTGGAAATAAAAGCTATTTCTCCTGGGGACTAGCAGGTAGTGTGGTTAAGGTGCTGGACTACCACATGGCAGACCACAGTTCAAGTCTCAGATCCAAGGAAGGACTTGCTTTCTCACTTTCTCTTCCTCTCTTTCTCTGTCTCTCTCTGGTCCAAATAAAAATAATATAATTAATTAGTCAATTAATTAAATCTTTATTTTAAAAAAGTTATTCCCCCTGTACCATCTACAATTTTCTCACACATCAGTTTGAAAAACATTGGTTTAAAGAATTGCATTCTATAGACCAGTCCATGGCCCTACTGGATAAGGGAGCTGGATCCCACATGGCAGATCGTGGTTTAAATCCTGACCCCTACATCCTGTAAAACATGCTGGGTGCATGAATGTGTCTGAAATCCTGTAAAGAAATGGAAAAGAGATTGCTGAATGACCACACACCATGTGGGAAGGATGCTTTCTCTTTCTCTGTCTGTCTCTTTCTGGTCAGTGCAAGTGCTCTGACAAATTAAAAATAAAACGAATTATACTCCATATGTCTTGTAGGTTCTAAAAAATATATTTTCAAGCCCTTTCTTTTTGGAATTTAGTCAAATGTTGAATTCAGGTTACTTTTAGGAATTGCTTTTTAAATTTCATGCTTAGTGATCTTTTTCCCAACATATAAAGTCTCTGAAGTTGGGACTGAACTTGAAGGGTTTTTTTACTACCTTACTTGTGGTAAATTGCAAATAACTTATTAGTATACAATAAATAAAACAAATTTCTGTCTTGAACGATTGTGTAAGTTACTCATTATCCTCCCCATTTCTCTTACCACCCTCTTCTTCATTTTAGCTTTAATCACTGAAAAAGCTTTCCAGCTTTTAACATCATGAAATGGCAGCATCTGTTGGCCCAGCCTGGTACTACAACAAAGTTCTACAAGACAATGAAGAACAGAGGAAAAGTAGAACAATGTAAGACCCTCAAAGAGCCTGAAAGGGGCCTGCTCTAGAGAGCGCTGGTGATGCAGTGATGCAATGCTCAGAAGGTGGTTCCCAGCACTGTAGACATGAAATATGTCAGGCCTGTGCACGAGCACTCAGAGCCAATGAGTTGGAGGACTTCAGGAGTGGAGGGAGGTGATCATGGCATGACTGGATCCTGTGGAGGTTTGTTGTTTTTTTTTGTTTTTTGTTTGTTTGTTTGTTTTTTTGAGAGGTTTTTGCTATAGGGTGCGTGCGCTCGCCAGACAGAGAGAGAGAGAGAGACAGAAAGCAAGAAATCTCCTCCCCGGGGGGATGACCACACTACAATCCCTTCTCCTCCATTCTCCTCTCAGGATCTTGGGCACGCACGCACATGCGCCTGGCGTGAGTTTAAGCCACCGGGTCCGGGACTCAAACTGCTTTCAACTATGTGGGAGTTCAGCGACATAGCCATTATGCTAACTGCTGGTCCCTGGAGGGTGTTTCTCTCTGTCCCTCTGTCTCTTTCTTTCCCATCAAAGAGCACATGTGTGTGATTTATCATGAAAAAGAAAAACAAACATTTTTAAAAATAAGGAAAATAGCACAGTGGTTAAGCTCAATGCGGAGGAAACCAGATTCCACATGTCCAATCTTGGTTTGAATCCCAGCCTTGGAGGGTTGAGAAACACGCTGGGCATATGTGCACTTGTTCCCAAGATCTTGACAGGAAGAAGGTATGAAATAAAAAGGATTTCAGCATGACCCAGCCCCTCTGGGGGGTGTTTCCCCCATCTCTCTTTTTCTCTCTCTGTCACTAGTATGTACACGCACCCTCCAATATTTTAAATAAAATTAGAATACAAAGATTCTGAAAAGATATATGAGAAATCCTGAAGTCAGAATCCTGCTGTCAAATTGTGGAAATGATTCAGAAACACTGGCAAGTTCTACATGACCTCAGTCAGACTATCAGAATGTCCATGAGTGCTCACCTCAATTTGAGGAGGACATTTGTTGTGGTGGTGGAGGGAGGGGATATGTGACTTTATAGTAAAAAATCAGTGGAAATACAAGATTTACTTATTAGCAGTTCCCTCTACCATCCCCTCTGGGGTGAGAATGCCTCCACAATTATCATTTACTATTTGTTTATTTTCCAAATGTGCATGGCACAGTTTTGGCATTGAGTTTTGTGTAAGTCGAATTAAACAAACAAAGCACTCTAGGAGCTCATAATCCAAAACATAATTTTTATTTTAATTTTACTTAGAAACAACCTTAAAGGGAAAAGCTACACCATCATTTTAGTTAAGAACAGACATTTTAAGCTAAAAAAAAAATAGAATAAGACATTGTATTTACCAAAGGACTGGATGCTTGCAGAAATAATCCCAAAAATAAATCTTTTGAGCACCTTTTGGTGTACTTTTGAACTCCAGCTGAAAGTATACACGATTCTTTAAAAATAGTCATTAATTGTTTCTTAGTAAATTCTAAGCCAAATCATTTGAGCTTTGGAAGAATGGAGTTTTAAAGACCAGCCTCAGGATAAAGAAGGTTGAACACTGATGTCTTAGTTCATTTTCTGCTGCTGTAACAGAATAGCACAAGCTGGATAATTTATAAAGAAAAAAAATATTTCTCAGAGTTTGGGAGGATATAAAATCCAAGCACATAGTGCCAGTACCTGGCCAGGGCCTTGTCTAATGGCAGAAGGCAGAAGATGGAAACGAGTGCTTGACACAGAGAGCAAGAGAGAGCCATTTTTTATAACAATACCATTCTTGAGAAAACTAACCCTTTCCCAAGATAAGGTCATTAATCAATTCATGACATCAGAGTTCTCATGACTGACTTACTCAGCTCTTAAAGGCCTCACGTCTTAATACTGTCACAATGGCAATTATGTTTCAGTATGAGTTCTGGTGGGGAGATATTCAACCACAGCACATGTTTTACTTTTATTTATTTATTTATTTATTTACTTATTTATTTATTGCTATAGGATGTGTGTGCTTGTCAGAGAGATTGGGAGGGATGGGGAGGTGTGAAAAATTATCCCCCAGGGGAGATGGTAACATCACAATCCCTTTTCCCCCATGCTTCTCTCAAGATTTTGGGTATGCACACATATGTGCACTTGGCACATTTTCTTGGCTACTGGGTTCAGGACTCAAACCACACAGTTGGCCATGTGAGATCCAGCCACCTAAACCACCATACCACCTGACTGGTTCCAAGGCTACTATTTTAATCTGCTCTACAATGACAGACTATGGGAACAAATAAGGATAAAATATGATTATCCGGGAATCTAAATTTCTGTATTGCTGGTTTTCTGAAATCTGTAAACACACACACTCTGGACAACTTTGTCTGGACAGATCAAGCTTAAAAGGGTTTCTAATAGTTTGTAGAAGAAATCAGATCTTCAGGGTCATTCTTTTCTACTCCTCTATCTGCGAAACTTCCTTATGCTTGGCAGGGTCTCTGAAGAAAAGGAAATGCACATTTTCTGGGAGACAGCTTCATTATATTTACTTTTAAATTCCCACTAGAAAATTTTTTTCTCAAGATAAATCTTTTTGGTGCCATAGTATACATTCTATTCTATCTTCCATGTTTACACCCAACCTTCAGATGTTTATAAACAGATATCATGCCCACTTTTAGTCATCTGTTAGCCACAAATAAGTGGCTTTTAATCTTGCTATATAGTTCAGTCTCTTCAAGCTTTTAATCATTCTTATTGCTTGTCTCCAAACAATTTCCAATTTCCTAGATGTTCTTTTTTGCTAGAGGTCTCCTACAATGAATGCATTATTCCAGGTGTGGTCTCCTTAGCATAGTAGAATTAGTCCTACTTTTTTTCTAGTGTGGTATTGTTTTGACTTCTTTGCAAATTCCCACCAATTCATGCTAATTTTATAGTCTAACAAACCACGTGATTATTTTTCTCTATTTTCACTTTGCAAAATATTTTCCTTGGCATACTATGCCATTCCTGATTTCTCAAGTCCTTCCAATGCACAGTTTTAAATGATAATAATAATCAAGGAACCAACAGTTGGCATAATGGCTATGTCGCTGGACACCCATGTAGTTGACTGTGGTTCGAGTCCCGGACCCCATGGCTTAAACTCACGCTGGGGTGTGTGTGTTTGTGCCCAAGATCCCAAGAGTAGAATGGAAGAGAAGGGATTACGGTGTGGTCATCCCCCCTGGAGGTGATTTCTCACTTTCTGTCTCTCTGTCTCTTCCTGTCTTTTTGGCGAGCACACGTGCTCTACAGCAAAAACCTCTCCAAAATAAAATAAAATAAAATAAAATGGTAATAATAGTCAATATATAAACAATATCATTTTGTTGACCCTTTGACTTTGTTGGCTTATTTTCATCTGCATTTCAAAATAGGAAGATTCAATTAATTTTTTTTTTTTTAGGTTTTTACAATAGGGCGCATGTGCTTGCCAAAGAGAAACAGAGAGAGAGAGAGAAAGTGAGAAATTAATTACACCCCACCCCAACCCCAGTAATGGCCATTCATAGTCTCTTCTCCTCAATTCTCCTCTTGGGATTTTAGGCACGCACACACACACAAACACACACACACACACACACACACACACACACACACATGCCAAACATGATTTTCTATCCACCAGGCCTGGGACTTGAACTGTGGTTGACCATGTGGGACTCCAGTGCCTTAATCACCATGCCATCTGTTGGCTCTCTAGTTATTTTTTTAATCATTTCCTCATGATATTTTTCTGCTTATGAAAAATGTCTGATTATAACCTAAAAGTCTCTACTATACAAGTTAATGATTGGTGGAAGGAGGAATTTAACTTTATGGAGGAGAAATAAATTGATTTGAAAGATTTATTTATTTATTTATTTATTTATTTATTTATTTATTTATAGAACTTTTTGCCTTAAGGCATGTGCACTCATCAGAGAGACAGAGACAGTGGGAGAGAAAGTAAGAAATCGCCCTCCTAGGTGAATGGCCATACCACAATTTCTTCTCGTCCGTTCCCCTCCTGGGACCTTGGGTATATACACACATGAGCCTGGCATGAGTTTCAAGTCACTGGGTCTGGGACTCGAATTGTGGTCAGCCATGTGGGAGTCCAGCAACATAACCACTTTGTCATCTGTTGGCTCCAATTTGACAGTTTTAAAGTAATGCAATTGTCATGGTTAACTATATTAATATTAATTGTATAAAATCTCTAAGGAAGGCTAATTACATTGAATACTTCTGAATAAAAATATCACAATAGCATTGCAAGACTGGTGAAACCTTTATAATGTCTATACTATACTACTGTATTCAGTAGTCTAAGCATTTAAAAATAAGTTTTGTATGAATTTTTTCAATGTTAAGCATATCTTCTCAGTACCACCATCTCCCACACACCTTATAGGAAAATGACTTTTCTTATTCATCCGATTTCTTCATTCACCATCCATCTTCTTGGAAAAAAGAAATGTCCGCACTTAGTGTATCTGCTTCTTGACTCTCCTTAATTCCGGAAATCTGACTTCTACTCCCATCTCTTCTCCCATCTGTGCTCAGTAGCCAGCTATGTAGCACAGGGGTTAAGCATTGTGTGAAGGGAGTAAGATTCTACGTGGCCTGTCATGGTTCTAATCCTGGCCACAGAGGCACCTGAAGGACACACCAGGTATGTGTAAGCATGTGCCTAAAATCCTGACAGGAAGGAGGAATGGCGGAAAGGAAACTACAGCATGACCAGGCCACATGGAGAAGGGGTGCTTTCTCTCTCTTCCCCCCTAGTATGCACCACTGCCCTCTAGCAGAGAAGAAAGAAAGGGAAGAAAGGAAGGAAGGAAGGAAGAAAGAAAGAAAAGAAAAGATAATCAGTATTCTCCTAATCTATATTTCATATTCTCATTATCCTTGACATCTAGTAAGTATAGTTTTGTTTTTATCCTTTGCTGCTATCCAAAATCCTCCAGAGCCTTCTCTTTCCTCTTAATGACATTCAAAAATAGTACCAGACACAGGTTCTTTTCCCTTTCTTCACTATACTTTCCCTTTCCACAGTTTCGTTCAGCTACACAGACTCTTTCACACCTAAATGGATGAATTAAGGGCATTAATCCTTTCCCAAATCCTGTGTGTCTTCCCTGCAGGTCCTGTTGGAACACACAGAACATACTCCCCATCC